AGCCAATTTTTTTTTTTTTTTTTTTTTAAGTAGACTAATACCCATCTGATTTCTGATATACAGCTTGAAGAGCTGCATCCAGCTGGTAAGTTTGGTGTGGAAAGGGTGTGTATGGGTGGCAGATAAGGGCCCCTGTGGTGAGGGAGCGAATGGGGCTGGGGCAGTGGCAGGTGCTTACCAGCCAGGGTGGGGAGGAATGTGGGACATGCCCTCCCAGACAAGTGGTGGGAGCCACCACAAGAGCACTGGGTGACCTGTCCGCAGCGGCGGGATCCGCCTTTGTCCTGTGCCCACCCTGGCCCCTGTTAAGCTGCTGTGTCCCTGCCCCACACCCTCCATCACTGTGGGGGGCCTTGATCTCCCTCCCCCCCATGCCCCTTCCCCTTCCACCACGCCAGACTTATCAGCTGCATGCAGCACTCCAGCCCTGCTCCTCACTGCCTACGTGCTGTGCTGTAGCTGTGCGCACGCACACACGGGCATTTATTGGACAAATTATCTGCTGCATTGGGCTGGTTTCCGATACAGAAAATTGTTCTTTATATTGGTGGCGATGTAATATAGGAATGATGTATTGGTACTTATAGAGGATCTTTTCAGGTGCATACTGTCTTCTTACCAATTGTTTTTATTTACCCACCTTTCCTCTTACCCTTTCCCCTAAAAAACAAAAAAAACCCTGCAGGAAACTACTTGTCTATAGTAGGGGTGTGAACAATGAGAAGAGGGAAAGTTGGGCCTGAACATGTTTGATTTAAGTTTATCTTGGGGGTGATCCAGCAGACAAATACAAATATGCCTAAAGAAATGGAGCTGGATAGCTGAAAAATGGAAGCAGTTTTTAAATATCAGAATGTGACTTAGGATACTCTGTTGCATGATTTAAAAAAAAAATTAAATGGATCAATTTTAAAACATTAAATGTTCCCTTTTAAAGTGTGTATTTTAAAACCATGTTTGTTTCTGTATTAATTTTATGAATGTCTGTTGAATAAACATCTCAAATGATCTTGATGTACAATTTATACCTTTCTCATTATAACCTCATTGTTTAAACTGTTCCAGAATGAATGTAATATTGGTGCTCAGGTGAACATGCAGAAAGAGGTCCTACAACTTGCAAAGTTTTATTAGAAAGGCCTTATTTAAAAACGAGACACAGCATATGCATTGATCATCTGAAAGGGTGTATGTCTACAGCAGTGGTTTTCAACCTTATTAGAATCAAGACACCCCTCTTAAGACTTAAGCCGTCCCTTCGAAAATGACAGCTCTTAACTTTCTTTCATTTCTTGAATACTGAAAAATAATAGAGCAATTCTTCCGCAACAGGTCAGAATGCTTTTGACACTGGATTCCTACTTGAAATTTCTGGGTTTTTCTCATGAATAATATGTAGGTGTTTGTACACTTAATACTGCATGGCACCCTGCAGCACCCTTGAAAGGACTTTATACACCCTAGGGTGCCATGGCACACTAGTTAAGAATCGCTGGTCTA